CTAGTGATTCTCAATATAAACAGATTAATAATACTAGTTCAAAAAAAATGAAACAGAATAATATCAGTATTAATCTCTTCTGTACGCACACCATCATCTATAATCTTATTTCTTGCAGATGTTTTATATGTGTTCGATTGTACAATTTCAATGATGTATAGAAAACAGATAGCAATCAATGTTATAATACAAGTAAATACATGCTCTGAGCTTTCACCAAAATAAACATCATGATCTATTACAATTGTGAGAACTTGTTTATGTCTTCTATCATGTATACTATTGGCTACTCAATAATTACTAACAGTAACACTATAAATACAAATAGCTCAACAATCAAAGTAATATTTAGAACATTCGTTACATAAAAAGTAATCATCAAAACAAAAAGATTAGCTAAAAATTGGAAGAAGGACAGATTTATTAGCTGTCAACTATTTGTCAGTTGAATATATCACTGTCTTTCTCATCGATTTTTCACGATTCGTCTTGTTTTTTATACATCAGTATAATGAGACTTCCATCATTTCATTGTATACATGTGTTATTTACAAACCCAAAACATGTAGAATTTTACTTTTGTATGAAGCAGATTTTTATAATACTTCCATATCCCTATAATAGATCGCATGTCTTTCAGGATAGTAATTCATGGTCAAACATCTTGTATTGATATTTATTAAATCAACATTCTCATAAGATCTGTTTCCATTTAAGGAATATAACTAATATATAAGTATTTTCAGCAAAATTACAAAAAAATATATCATCATCATAGAGGAGTATTATTGTCATATTTGAAATATATCGTGTAACGATATACAATCTAAATATGAATATAGAACTCATGTCAAATGATTAGCAATGTTCATTGTAATAGTTCTTTTTTTACCTATATAATGTAATAGGTTGCTTATGATATCATATTGCTGATTAATCTATGTAATATAAGAATATATGAATAATTAACTGCCAACAATAAAATTTCAATTTTCCTATCAAAATTTTATCTACGTATATACAGCTAACAGTATCTTAATTGTATTGTGGTTTGAAGGTATTCTACACATATCTATTTCTTTTTTCTTCGTCATAGAAAAACAACCCACGTCACACACCTTTTTCGTACTATATTTTTAAAATATTTTCTATCATAAATTTGACAATTGTATGATGTGAAATATTATACTATGATTAAATCTGACATCCTCATTATCTCGACTTGTCCTAATAAAATATTATGAAATAAAAAGAAGAACGAAATATTGAAGATAAGATACGTCGTGAATGATGTATCAAAGACAATATAATTTTATCTGACGTCATAAAAACACTAAATAGTCTAATCATGTACAAAGGATCATTGCATCGAACCATTTCATGGGCTGTTTTATTAAGTGCTCGAGAAATTCATTCGATGTCTACTTGGAAGATTAAAAGTGAACATACATCTTCGGATTGTAGTTCTGTAAGTATTTAACTTTGATATTTGATAAATATATATGAACAAATTTTATATTTCTTCAATAAGCTAAAAGAAATTCAAAAAGACATCAAACAACTATGTATTACTTTCTTTTTCTCTTTCTATCGTGAAATTGACTAAGTATGTCAAGGATTTAGTTTTATTCAACCAAAAAAAAACTACTAATGATATGTAATATATATTCATACGCATAAAGTAAATGAAAAATCAACAATTACTAAAGCATAAATAAAATTAGATGTGTATACATCATCGCAAAGTGTTGTCAGTCAATTCATCAATTTTCTTCTATACAAGAGAAAAACGAGGCACAAAGAGGTGAAGGCGACGACGTATAATAAAAATAAATATAACATCGTCTTATCCTACGTAGTTGTTCGAGGTCGACCGATCATGATGGTGTAACTCGAAGCAAAGCACATACTAACTAAAGTATGTCAGCAAGAAGCAGTCGCATTAATCGTTATAAAAGTTATTATGTAAAACGACAAGAAGAAGAAGAATGAGGGGGGAGCCCGAGAAAAAAAATTGATGATATTGATCTGATTGCCTTATGAATAGAGAAGTATACTATGAAACTTTATGTTTGAACACATACACCCTATTCGATTCATTTTATATACAGCTGTTTATACGCACGCCTGTTAGACATATATAATCTTTGAGTAAACGACAATATAGATACAGGGACTCTTAGCTTATCTTTTTTTTCCTTTTCTTCTTCTTCTTTTTTCTCTGCAATAATGTTTATATGTATCACGCAAGACGACAGTGCCAGCGACGACGATAATGGGTCTGAATATATCCGTCGTTTATCCACATCGTCACTGTTACTACTACCAATAATTTTCTTCGTCGTTTTTTTTTTTGCTGAAAATGACACATGCACTCACATGTATACTTACATACATAGAATGCTTATCTCTCATATAGTACTAAGCAGTCGGAAGAAAGAAAAGGAAAAGTAGTGTGCATACATGCCTATATGTATCGTAAGCATATAAAGACGTGATAGAGTGTAAACTCATTTACAATCGTATTGTTCGTATTATCGTCATATATATATTTATATCTATCAAATCAAGTAAGAAATAAAAGACGAGTGAATAAAGATGATTTCATTGTTTGTTCAAAAAATACTTCTATTCGCTCTCTTTCGGGGCACGTCTCGATGGTCAATATGGCAAACTTGAGTATATTGTTCTAATTAGTCGCTCCTCTCAATCTTTCGATCAAAAAAAAAAAAGAAGAAAGAAAAAAAAATGAGAAGAATATGAACTATTTTTTCTTCTTCTTTTTTTCTCTCTCTCTCTGTCGCTCCCTGTTCTTCCCTCTTCCTACTTCGTCTTCAACAGGTTTTTTTCTTCGTTATTCGAAATATGACCAACTGAGCCTGATACATAATAATAATAAATAACGAAACGAGCAGGATTGTAATTTTATCAATGCCACCACAAAAACGACACTTATTTCAGGTTAATCGTCATGTACAAGCGTCTATAATGCTATTATCAGTCATGGAAGGTGCCGAACTCGATCTCAATAATACAATTTCTTCAACTTCAAAACCAATAACAACTACAACAACAACATCATCATCAACACTATCGACTTCAGATGATTATGATAAAGGTATTTTTTCTTTTCAAAATCAAATAAAATTATATTATATAAATAAAATTTAGATCTTCAATTAGCTGCCGAACTTGGCCGATGTTTACTCGAACGAAATCAAGAATTACAAAACTATATAAATGTTCTACAAAAACAAATTGACGATGAACAATGTGATATAAAAGTAAGAAGATTAGAATAAACATTACACAATATGATCATTTTCTTATTTTAATCGATTTTAAATAACGATATATATACACATATATCTATATCTTGTATAATGGATTAACATATATCTCTATTGGGTTTTAGTTATTGCATGTCAAACTTGAATCAACTCGTGAACAACTCGACACGAAATGCAAACAAACTGAAATATTGGATGCAACAAATTTCGATCTGGAGCGAGAACTTGCTCAACAACGACGAGACAATGAAAGAGAACGACAACGTATTAAAGAGTAAGTATTTTTCTATTTCACATATTCATTCAACCATACGACACATTTATAAAGAAGTGTTTTTTTTTATCATATGTACACTCAAATTGTCCATACATGATATGTCTGATCACTTCTTTTTAATAGACGAAAGACAGATACTAATAATCAATCGAATGAAATGATTATTTATAAATTATTATAATTAATCATATAATTTTTTAGGTTATCTGATCTATGTGAAAAGACACGTAAACAGTGTCTTGAAATTGAACATGAATACGAAGCATTTCGATTGAAACAATTCGAAACCCATCATTTTCCTAAACAATACAATTCTTCTGTACAAACATCGAAAAAATCAAATAAATTACGACGTTCTCAATCATTTAGTTTAAATTTAGCACATGATTCATCATTAACGGATGTATCAACATCTTCAAATATCTTTGATATTTCATCGGCATCAATATTCAAGACACATCTTACTGAATTAAAAACACGTATTAAATCATTAACATCCGATTGTTCAACATTAAATGATAAACTTCATCAATCTGAACAAGAAAAACGTTATTTAAATGATCGTATTACACTACTCGAACGGCAACGTCGTGACGATAATGATTCATTTCAACATGAATTAAATCATTGTAGAAAATTATTAGAAAAACATATCAATAATGAAAATTTAAATCCAATATTAACAAATTTTCATTCACCACCTGAACATGAAGTTTCATTATATGATGAAGTTTTATTTGAAAATAAAAAATTAAATAATAAACAATCGTATGAAATGACAAACTATAAAGATTTATTCGCAAGTGTCTATCAAAAATTAAAGGTAATTAAAAATGATTCGTAAATTTTTTAAAATATATTGTACAGACCAAAAAATTAAAAGCCCATCTGTTTCTTCTCTCTTCTTTCGCGTTCTCTTGACTATTATTTAAATATGAAGTATTTTGTATATGTTTGTTTTATTTCTTATCGACATGAATGTGTGTATTTACAATTCATTCTGTCTTTTATTGTTTATTATAGTTCCTGTTTATATACAGTGTGAATAGTTGTTAAACGTGTGTAACTCACACTGTATTTGTTCGCTACTTTTTTTTTCTTCTAACGAGTATCTATCATATAATGCGTTTGTTCGCAATCTCGTACACATTGTCTTTCTCTATTTTGAGCAGTATAGTTCATGTGTGCGAAGGTTTCTTCTTTTCTTTTCAGCGTTTCTTTTGTTTATTTGGTTTTCTTTTCTTTTTTTTT